CTAGTACGATTAGCCCGAGCTACGCCCGGAATCAATTGCATAGTTAAGGCGGTAAAATTTTACTACCTCATTTTCATTGTCACAAAAGTATAATTAAAATTTTCTTTTGAACTTTCAAAAATATTGTTAAGTAGCTTATTTGCAACTCTTACATATTTATTCCTCTTAAATTTTCAAAACCACAATACGTTTCAACTATAGGTTTTCAAAGGTAATGCTGAAGTAGTCTATAACCAAGAATCTGAAATAAGTGTTGAAGCCTTGATGAAATTTATGAAGAATGGATAAGATGTTGTAACTGTTGAGTACCATGCGAATGGATGCAAATATTTGATTAAGCTTCAGCTAAGATCCAGGAGTTTAAGATTTATATCAATGTGTGAGATATACACAAGAGTTATTCACCTAAAAAATAAATTAACGTTCAAAAAGTTGTTAGTATATACAGTTCTAGGGGGCTACATATGTATTTGACCTTCTTTGAATTTGCACAAAGCACTTAACTTTTTTCAGTCTAAATCTTAAGAGTCCAAACGAAATATTAAGTCAATATTTATGCAAATTCTTTGGCAGAAAACCTAACTAAAATTATTGGAACATGAAGATGAAATCTATATATCTTAGTTTATTATTGTTTTATAAATTTTAAGCTTATATGGAAAATTGGAAAGTATGTCATGTTTTTACTATTTTTGAAGTTTAATGAAATCCTTACACAAGAATAATATAACTGAAAAATGAAAAGTTTATGTGAGCCCACGTTTAAAGGGGTGAAATTTGGAATGGCTGCAAAATGGAGTGTGTGAGATTCTCCTATCTAATAAGAGGGAGTTAGCACACACCTGGAAAAGGGAGTTAGCACACACCTGGACAACATGTCTGCCTCACATTTCAAGGGTAATATTGTCTTTTCATTTATTTTTTTAACCTTCGCTTATTAAGATTTCATCGACCAATTTGGAAAATCACTGCTCTCTGCAAGCACTTCTTTGGCTTCTCTCTTCTCACTCTTGTTCTTATCGTACCAGGCAGACAGCTCTTTGAGAAACTTGGCAGATGCATGTTCTATGTATCAAAAGATTAACACCCAGTTCATTGCAAATTCAGTATCAACAATATCAGAAAAGCTTCACGGTCTGTCAGTTTCCCAGTTTCAAAATAAATTATTTCAGCAATTTTGAGGTTAGTTTGCCCATTTCAGGATTTCCAGGGTGACTCATATTTTGGTAGGACAACACGTGCAGTCCATTCTTAATCAGTCTAATACTTTCTGAAAAGTAACATCTCCCTCTAAGACGTCTGTTCTCTCTCTAGATTTTACAGGTCCTCTTTGTTGTCAACTTTGCGGTTTATAGATTTTACAGCTTCTAGAGGTGAGCGTTCTATTAGCACTGTTTACAGTTAATTTTGTTTAATTTGTATTATTTGGGCCCCTTTGATTCTGATTTCCTTTATCACGTATTTCCAATATTATAGAGTGTTATCTTTTGCAATTTTCTATTATTTGAATTTTGTGTTCCCATCGCTGCTTTCTGTTGCTCTGTTACTGTTTGAGAAAATTCTTCAATGAATTAGGATCTTTGGATTTCGATATGAAAAGATAATACACGGACGCACTATGCCCTCTCTTTAACTTTGGGTGTTTAAAAAAACGAAAAACTTTTAAAACTTGTAATCTTAAACCGGTTATAACATTCGTGTCGTCGAAAAAACTTCTACAATTTATGATCTTTATTATGACAAGGCTATGAAAGTTTCCATTAGGGGTTAGAGTCTCTGCAAGTTGGATATTGATAGATAGTGTATGGGTCAGAATCCGACCTCACGATAATCAACGAAGTTAATCCCGTCTTAAGCTAATTCATGATTGATTAGTGGTACAACCACTCAGAATTAACGGTATCCAACCCTTATCTGATTCGATCAACAAGGCTACGGCCCGTCCGTCATCATGAAGGCGAAACCCCAACGTGGTCACGGCCACTTATGTCCAGCTCACGAAGCTCACAGCTATAAATACCAAGAGAGGGAACCTCTTCAAGGGGCTTCTTCTGGGGGGAGGATTCAAGAGAGAGAGAGAGAGAGAGAAAGATATAACGATACACATATTATGAGAGAGGAAAACACCATTGTAAGGCTCTGAACCTCTTCATGGAGAGGCAGGCCAAATCACCATTATCAATAAAGGATCTTAATGTTTCTCCTCCTAACTCTGAGTACTTATTTGTGCATCTTTCATTTGGTCTAATGGATTATTACGGTTTGCTATGATTTTCCCGTGATTTATTTATATTGTTTACACTCAAAAGGTATATGATAACTTTTGAGCAAAAAATTTGGCGCCATCTGTGGGGATTTCCTAGCAAAATCGCGTAGTTCTTCCCTGGACCAAAAGGAAAGAAACACCAAACTCGAAGGGGAACTCGAAGATCTCAAATCAAGATCCAAGTCCTCTCTCTCTCTCCGATCTCAGATAGTGCACACAAAAAGAAGAAGCCCCCCCCCCCCCAAGGGAGGATCTCTGTAAAGCATCTCCCGCATCCCCGATACGGGCTCCGGCTGGAAACCGGCACGGAGATATCTCGAGCCGAGAGTCGCTTCAAGACAGCCTACATACCCCGATTGGGAAGACAACGTATAAGCTGCTCAAGGTCTCGAATCAAAACCGAGTTTCAGCACCCAATACCCACAGCGTGAAACTCAGGCTATGCGCCTTCGCATCAAAATCGACAAAGTTCAACAACAGTTGAACTGGGACTCAGGCTACGCGTCTTCGCCATTAAATCAAGGCCATGCGCCTTCGCCAGTAAGTTCAACTACGGTTGAACCAAAACTCAGGCTATGCGCCTTCGCCAGTAAGTTCAACTACGGTCGAACCAAAACTCAGGCTATGCGCCTTCGCCATCAAAATTGACAAAGTTCAACAATAGTTGAACTGGGACTCAGGCTAAGTGCCTTCGCCATTAAATCAAGGCCATGCGCCTTCTCTAGTAAGTTCAACTACAGTTGAACTGGGACTCAGGCTACGCGCCTTCGCCATTAAATCAAGGCCATGCGCCTTCGCAGTAAGTTCAACTACGGTTGAACCAAAACTCAGGCTACGCGCCTTCGCCATCAAAATTGACAAAGTTAAACAACAGTTGAACTGCGACTCAGGCCATGAGCCTTCGCCATCAGAACCGACTAAGTTCAACAATAGTTGAACCGGGACTCAGGCTACGCGCCTTCGCCATCAGAACCGACTAAGTTCAACAATAGTTGAACCGGGACTCAGGCTACGCGCCTTCGCCATCAAATCCAACGAGTTCGACCTCGCTCGAACCATAAGGCTAGACGCCTTCGTCCTCAAATCTAACTAGTTCAACCACAGTCGAACCGGGACTCGAATCAAGCGCCTTCATCATTGAACTCAGCAAAATCCAACCTCCAACGAATCGAGGCGCATGTTAGGCACCCTCGCCCTTCAAGTAAGTACTCCCAACTCAAACTAAGATTGGGGGCACGTAAACTCCGGCCCCGGTCAAACTACAAGGCCGCGTTTTCTATCATCACGGCCAACAGTTCGACCGCGCCCGAACCGGGACTAAGGCTAAGTGCCGCTATCGCCAAGCAACGGCTCCGACTCGCTCACCCCGAGTCGAAGAAGAAGATTTGTCAACAATTAAAAACTAATATGCCTACCAGAGTCGAACTCGAAGGCAAATCACCCCTTCGAGCGCATGTAAAGAAAAATCTAAGGGGGAAAAAGAGGAGGTACAAAACAGATACAAGGCAAATAACGGAAAGGAGATCTCATTTATCCACGAAATTAATTGCGGGTCATCCCCGCTTACACCCGGCCAAGGCCGATCAATACAAGGAAAGAAAAAAAAACAAGAAACACCTAAACGCCAAACGGCGAACAAGACAAGAAAAAATGCATAACATCTTTTTACTCGGCCCATCCGCGCCACCATCTGCACCAGCGTCAGCCTCTGGCGTCGCCGCGTCAAAACCACAGTCGGTACGGGCCTCACGAGCCTTTTGACGCGCTCCCTCGAAAGCAGCTTCGGTCACGATGCCGGCCTCCCACAAATTCTTATATACATCTCGTTGGGCCTCGGCGAAGACCCAAAGTTCGCGAGCCTGGCTGGAAGAAGCGGCTTGGTCCCGTAGGCGCTGATTCTCTTCTTCTAAGGCTGTGATCCGGTCCGCCATGACTTGGGCGTCCTGCTCAAAGACACCGATCCGCTCCTCGAGACTCCCTTCTCTAAAGGCCGCAGCAGCCCTCTCCAACGCCCGTTGGGACTCGTGCACGCGGATAGCTTCCTTCAACGCCCCAGCCCTCGACGAGGCATCCCTCACCTGAAGCTTCAATATCGCGACTTCACCCTCCAACGCAGTCACTTTCCCGCTCCATGCCGCAGCGGCTTCCGCCGCCTTAGCCTGGCCCTGGCGCTCACACTCAGCTGCAGCCCTCCTTCCTGCCTCAAGCTCCTTATCCTTCCGCCGGAGCTGCTCCTCGAGAGCACTCGCTCTGCCAAGTGCTTGCTACATCTGAAGCTCCCGCCTCGCCAGTTCCTCGACCAAGGTCCGACTACGGGGATCATTCCTCAAGCGCACGCGCATCTCTCGGCACCGATCTCGGTAGCGGCGGTATTTCTCCAACGCCCGCAAAAATATCCCCGAGCGGACGTTGGCTCGACGGATGCTCTCCACCTCCAACAAATAAGACTGCAGAGCAAAGACAACGATTAAGATAAAGATCAAACTAAGACGAAAAAGAAGCGAACCGACATTATATTACATACCCTCAAGCCCATCACAGCCACTTCATTCATCAGTCCGACATCCGTAACGCCCCTCAATGACGCATTCTCGGCCTCCGAGCATAGCAGCTCAAACTGCGGGACCAAGCTACTCCCTTGGAGCAATAAGTTCAGCTCCGTGGGAACCTCGACGAAGCGAGACCGCCCCTCTGCGCGCACCGCTGAATTGGTGAAGCCTTCCTGGAACATACGAACGTTGTTGGGGTCCAAGTCGGATTCAGACTCGTACTCATCTTCTACAGCATCCCTTCCTCCTTCGGCCACTAGCGAGGTGGAACCACCCGCCGTAGCCGCCAAAGGAGTGCTTGAATCACCAACATTAGCAGCCGCTGAGGAACTACCTCCCGTCTCAGCGACTGGAACCACCAACTGAGTCGCCGAGGCGACGGCATCATCATGGCCTAAGCCAGCCGGGGCAACCCCCATTGTCTGTCCACCCTCAAGAGCAGGCGCCGCGACCGCACCCCTCTCCGCATCCGTCGGAGGAGAGTCCAAATTAATTACCACAGGAGGAGCCGGCGTGAACATGACCCTACGCCTTATCAATGGCCTCTCCTCCTCCCCATCTGATGGTGATTCCGCCCTAGGGCGCACGACCCCCTCGTCCCCTCGTCCCGAAGTGCAGCCCATGCTGGAGAAGGAACCGCTGAAGATTCAACTGATGCCACCCTCGGTATTGAGCGCGACACCGGCGCCGCAGTAAGTCGACCGATTGCACCCGGCCGACGGAAGGCCAACTGAGGGGCCCTGACGCGGCGTCCCCTCCCCGATCACAGAAAAACAAGGTTGATGAATCGAGTTGAAACGAAGCGGAACACAGGCCTACGGCCATGCCTCTCCCAGAAAGACGCCCATGTGCATATCCCCACCGTATGGGGGAGCACGGCCTCAACCCACTCACGAATCCCAGCCAACGGAGCCGGCGGTAACTTTTCGGCTACAAATTGATACGAGTTAACGTTTATGAGCACAAGACGTAGGGAGGGGCAAAAAAGGGAATTCGACGATTAAGGAACTTACGTGCATGATTCCAAGCCTCTGGGAACCCAGTAGAGCACGCCACTAAATGTTCAGTCCTGATGTAGAAGAAGTGCTCGAAAGGGCGAGGGTCGACCTCATCATCCAGTTTCACAGTCAGGCCCCTCGTCCCGCGAGGGCACGCTTGAATCATGGTACCACGAACTCTCTGGGAGCGTAGAGGCTGAGCACATGCTGCAGCATGACCTCTCTACCGGCCAATTCTGCATATTTGATAAGCATTGCTAATAATTTGTAAAGAGAAGGAGCAAGCTGACCCAGGCATACCCCGTAATAACGACAGAAATCAACCAGTAGCATTGGGAGCGGGAGCTTAAACAACTTGAAGGGATAGGCGTAAAAGACGCAGTATCCCCTGCGGTCAGTGTGGACCCTCTCCTCGCTTCTAGCGAGAACAACGTCAGCATAGCTGGGGATGACCCCCTGTCCCCGTAGTCGGGACATCCCAATCTCCCCCATTAATGGGGATTCATCCACCTGGTCCTCCCCACCATCGGCGGTGAAATCAGTCATCGGACCTCCGGGCAGAGACACTATCTCGTCAACCGATGGAGCTTCATCGGTCTCCACTAGTTCTGCACCGCCCATTGCCGGAGATGGCCCTTCAGTCACCAGAGAGTTAACCGGAAGATCCGTCGGAAGAACGTTTTGGGAAGAACTGCCTGCCATTGTTGATTCAATAACGAGAAAGAAGCAAAGTTTGAAGAACAAAGACGAAGGTGAATTAGCAGGAAGAAAAGCTTCTTCAGAATCTCTCTCAGACAAACAATGAGAATATAAAAAAATGAATGCCTCAGCTTTTATTTATAGGCAACACAAGTGGCTTTCATGAACCCCAACAGCCACCATTAACTACATGACCAACCGCACGCCGGTTCGATTCCACAGAAACGTGCGTCATTATGACAGGCTCCATGAAGCAGCTTTGCAGTCACCAACCGGCGTCTCGCCCTCGAAATGGTTTTAACGACCTATGAACGCCGAGGAGATGTTCCGTGCGCTCTCAAAATTTTGGACGTCGCCAAACACGTATCAAGCGTGCCCTTACTCCCCTCGGCCGCACAACATACGACCCGTCCGCCATGGTCGACGGGTATGCTCCCAGAACAAACGAAAGGGTCAGAGCACAACAAAGCTCGACCTCACTCGAATTAAATTAAAGGGTCAAGTGCCTTCGCAAAAGAGGAGAGTCCAACCTCGATCGAACGACGACTTGATAACACAATAACAAAACACAGACACTCTACAAGGCTGAGGGCCATTGCCAAAGAGAATTCGGCCTCGACCGAAGCGACAGTCGACCTCGCTATCCGAGTTTCTCAGAATTACAGTCGATGAAATCCACTCATCGAGCTCGGCCAAGGCACGACCTCAATAAGCGGAGGGACTAACTGTATGGGTCAGAATCCGACCTCACGATAATCAACGAAGTTAATCCCGTCTTAAGCTAATTCATGATTGATTAGTGGTACAACCACTCAGAATTAACGGTATCCAACCCTTATCTGATTCGATCAACAAGGCTACGGCCCGTCCGTCATCATGAAGGCGAAACCCTAACGTGGTCACGACCACTTATGGCCAGCTTACGAAGCTCACAGCTATAAATACCAAGAGAGGGAACCTCTTCAAGGGGCTTCTTATGGGGGGAGGATTCAAGAGAGGACAGAGAAAGATATAACGATACACATATTATGAGAGAGGAAAACATCATTGTAAGGCTCTGAACCTCTTCATGGAGAGGCAGGCCAAATCATCATTATCAATAAAGGATCTTAATGTTTCTCCTCCTAACTCTGAGTACTTATTTGTGCATCTTTCATTTGGTCTAATGGATTATTACGGTTTGCTATGATTTTCCCGTGATTTATTTATATTGTTTACACTCAAAAGGTATATGATAACTTTTGAGCAAACAGATAGATAATTCACCCCCGATAAAAAATTGGTATTACGCAAAAAGCTAAAATGAAGTTGATAAACTAAATACACTGGATTAAGAAAAAGGGAGTCTTTGTTTAAAATTAAGGAAAGTGAGACGGTATAAACAAGTTGCAGATATCTATTGCAAAAATAAAAATACAGCTAACTATTTTGCCAATTCTGAAATATGTAATAAGAATAGATCTATATAAGTTTATGATATCTCAAAGTAAACTTCACTAAAAAGTTATCATCATAGCATGACCAGTATGATAGAGAGTTAGTAGTTGTTATTACCAAGGTTTCTTCAGAACATTCTGTTAAGAACATTGGGAATTATGATCAAAACTTATGTAGAGATTCTTATTGATCTTTACTTGTGTAAGATGTTCCTTGCATTAGAACTTAGTATGAACGATGTGCTAAGTAAATATTTGAACAGACGTGTTTATCACTTTATTTCTACCGTTTATCACTCCTACCTAATAGCGGATCCACATATAGAAGAGTGTCTGCTGAAGCACCCATTAAACTGCTAATAAGTATATATAATTAAATTGATATTTTAATACTCTATGATATAAATCGTTCATTAAGCACCCATAGCATTGGATAGTCTTCTGGTGCATGGGGTTAAGAGGATTAACAAATGGTGCTGAAACACTTCGCCAGAGAATGGTTTAGAAGTAATTTTTTCATTTGGAACTTATTTATTTATGTTCATGTACTGACTGATGTACAATTATTCAGAAGATTCATATTTAGCTAGAGTAATACAAAAAAATAATGAATTTATCTTTAAATGTAAAATGACAACCACCTTTTCAGAAGTATGATTCTTCTCTCTTTTCACAGGTTACAGGTTGCGGCTAAGACAGACCCACACAGAGAAGGGTGATTGCTCGAGCACCCATTGACTTGAAATTCTAGGTCCGACTCTTGAATCTTTTTGTGCTGATTTTTTCTTCCACTGGAAACATGAGGTAACGCCCGAAGTTTGAATTCAATTCAATCATAGAACAAAATGGTGCTCCATTATAGCACATATTCCTACTCTCTTAGCTTTCTTTTAATTATCTCTTGCAAAATCCTGCAACTTGAGTCAATGCACATCGTATATTAGTTCTCTGATTCCTATTTTTTTCTTCTGTTATACTTTATTATCTTTCAAAGAAAAGTTTCGTGAAAACATGCACGTCTTTAACCTGTAAAGTCATCTATTTGTTGTTTTACATGATCATCTGATACTTGGGTCGCACAAATGAACGGTAGAAATTAAACAATTTCTCTGCTATATAGAATTTATCTGGAATTCGCAGATATATGACCAATTTGTAAGTCCTTTTATTTCTCCCAGTGATTTTTTCCTTCCTAAATGAGAACTATACAATGTATATATGCATAGAAACACGATTATTTACATCTGTTGCTAATGCTATTCAATATTGCTAATTCTCTCTATTGCTTGGCCAATGTGTGGAGTCCATTTTCATCAGATGGGGAGTGATTGTATCGTTTCTGTTATCGATCTAAGATTTCTCAAAGTTCTCTATCTCCAAACAGTTCTCCTCTGTTCCTAATGTTGCTACTGGATTTCTCTCTCTGGATCATTATTTTCTGGTGGATATTCTTCTTTTTATCTTTTGTTTCTTCTATCATCTGTTTTATCTTCGATGACATGTTAGGAATTTGTGTTTTCTTATGAGGTCTTAGGGCTTTCGCCTTTCGGGCACACAAACTTTAACATGCCAAGAGCTTTTGTAACTTAGGTGTTTGAGAAATTTATTCGAAGTAGGATTTCTATTATATTTCTTTTGCATCTCACTGCTTTCTCTATTCTTAGGTATTATTTTATGGTTTCATTTTGACAAGGATTATGTTGTAAAAAATAGCTTTGAGCATTACATAGAGACTGAAGTATTACTTTCTCTCAATGCCAAAACGCTTTAAAATCCCCATCCACCAAGTTTTTTTTCTGTGTGTTCTTCAGTTGTTGCTTCGATTTTCTGTGCCTATCGATAGTTGATTTTCTTTCGCCGTTGATTAATGATTTGAGGTGAGCTTCTTGCTTGTTCTTTTTGTTTCTTTTTTCCAGTTATTTTTGTTTATCTTATGATTCTAGGTATGTCTTTGTCTCTACTGATAAAATTTGATTCAATAGTAACTTTTTCGAAGCTCTTCAAAATATGGAGGTAGAGAAACAAAGAAAAATTTCTTTTTTAACATACAAAAGAAGTTACTGAAACAGTTTGGATCCATACTTGTGGAAACTAGGAATCTAATGTGACCTATTTGTCACACGGTCATTCAACAGTTTCATTTCTTTTGGATGAATCGCTGATCTTTATTTTGGTTAGCTTGACTGCAGGCGGAGAGACTCTTTACCTGAAATACTGTAAAATAAAATCGCATATTTTGGTATCCCATGTAATTAGTAAGACTTGTAATTTTTTCTTAATATGAACCACTTAATATTTAGGAGGCGCTTCATTAGTTTTCAGGGCTCCTCAAATAAGGCATGCAATTAATGTTTACACTGTTTGTAAACTTCTAAATTTTCTTTAAATGTTTTTCCTTCATTTGATACATTTTTGACTTTGTCAGTTAATACCATGCTTTACTTATTAGGAGATTGATTACTGATGTAATATTTTTGCTTGGCTTGGAAATTTGTGTTTAATTTTAATATGCTCAGTAGCTTTTAGTTGAGTTCGAAGTAATTCATGACAAAAGAAATAAAATAAATATGCATTTGAAGAGGTGCTGAAATCCACTCAGGTAAATTGGTTTTATGTGCCTTAAAAGCCTTATTTTTATCAGTTTGAGATTGTTGTTGCCAAATTTTTGTTTGACCACTATTGGGTGAGTTCAATTTATACTGTATTAGTTTCATTTTTCCCCTTTTGCTTCAAACTATTTCGTCCTGAAGGGACCTGCGGTGGTAATTTTTTATATATATTTTGGGTTTTTCGTTTGCACTACAGAGGTAATGATGGAACTACCGAAAGAGGTTGTGACAGTAGTTGCCAAAGGAGTTGATGAAGGTGAGACTTGCTGCTCACCACGTGTTGACCCGCCATCGATGGTCATTTTGCTAACTCAAAAGTTATTTTGGATAATAACATTGTTTTTATTTGCCTGTTAATATTGAATTGAGCAAGGGAGACATGGAGTAGTCCAACCGCTTCAAACAACTGCTAGAATGTACCAAAACATATCATTTTGTACATCTCTCTAGAGTTTTCAAGGCATCTGATGATAACTTATGATAAGGTAGTTGGTATGGTGCAATTGATCGTCTTTATTCTGAAACAGTGAATTATTCTGTTAAATTCTCGTATGATAAAGGTTTGTCAGTTATGACTTCCTTATCCTATTGCATTTTACGTCATTACTCAAGGTAATTTGCCTCTTTATACTGTTGAAGGTGGGGGAATTATACTGCTAAAATATTACAAACCAGCAGATGCAACCAATTATACACCTATTTCATGTTCGGATATGCAGTTACATGTGGAGATGACATAATAGTTACTGGCTTGAATATAATATATTGGTAAGCTCCCAATTATTTTTTTCTTGCTTATAATATGTCCAAATTACTGACGATGATTTATTGGTCTACTAACAATTGGATAGTTCAGAGTGCTTCTCTCATATCTGCATTTCATCTCACATATCTATATTTACTGATAGGTGTTTCGGGTATTGTCACGACCCATTTTCCATAATAGGTCATGATGACGCCCGATACCACTGTCAGGCCAGCCGATGCAGAAATGTGATTAAATTCTCATTTTACTTTAACCCAAGACAATTATAATAGATTTTTCGAATTAAAGGTAAGACCATTAAAGATCATAATGTATCAAAATAACAATACAACCCAAAAATAAATGTCTACTACTGTGTGTGCCAGAACCTGGTGTCACAAGCTACGGGCGACTAGTAGAATATACACAAAAGAATAATATACTATCCTACTGTCTGAATCAGGATAGACATAAACAAAAGTACAAGGAAGGACTTCTTCAGTTGCGGATCGGCATGAAAGAGAAGCAGCTCACCGTAGAAGTCCCAAGCGTGCTCACTGATGCACACCAGAATGATGTCCAGATCCACCTGCCTCAAATCCTGTACATTTAAGTACAGAAGCGTAGCATGAGTACATAAACAACATGTACCCAGTAAGTATCCCGTCTAATCTCGAAGAAGTAGAGACGAGAGGTCGACTTGATACTTACTAAGGTCAAGATAATATAATAGTAATGTGAGATATACATCATGAAGGATCTCCAATGACAAAAGTTTAAAAGAAAAGTCATATTCATGTTCTTGACCATAATTCAATTACCATTTTCCCTTTTTCATACTTAACAAGAAATCATGTCATGTCTAAACTTAAGCATATATATCATGCGCAATCATGCCGAGGTCGACGGCCCGCTCCAACAGAAAATAAATTGTGCACTGCCGAGGGTCGAACGGCCCGAACCATAGATGCATCTATTCTCACCGAGGCAATCGGCCCGATCCATAATTATCAAGAAAAATATCAAGAATGCACACAAGGCTCATTTATATACAAGAAACTCCTACCAAGGCTCAACAAGCTCATATGTTCACTTTTCATTCCCTCGAGTCTCTAGCAAATCATAAATGATCATATTGGCAATAAAATAATAGATGTTCCCCAATTAGGCATGATGTGGGTCCTAAACTACCCAAACAATTAACATTATAGTAGCTACGCACGGACTCTCGTTAGCTAGTACGTACGTAGCCCCCGCATTTAGCAACAATTACTCATTTATAATCCTATGGGGACAATTCCCTCTTACAAGGTTAGAAAGGAGACTCATCTTGCTCCGAAGCGCACTTCCAATATCAAGAACAAGCCCAAACCCTCAATTTGTAGCCGAACGAGCACAAACTAATTAAAATAAAGTGAGAACTAGTCAATAAAGGCTTACAAGGTTGAATTCTAACTATTTAAGTGATTTCCCAACCTTTCCCACAAGATTCCTAAATTCCGACCCCGGGCCCACGTGCCCGGATTCCAAGATTTTTCGAAGGAAGTTGTTCTCTATCACCTAAGGATCACAAATATATGATTTCTAGTTCATTACATGGCAAATTACATGATTAAATCTTAATTTTACTAAAACCCTAGATCTAGCTCTAACCCTTGATTTTTAGTTAGTTTTTAGTGTTTAATCTACCTAATGTTCATGTATTTAAACTAAGGGGGAGTGAAAATTACTTACCTTGTGATGATATGTGGAAACCCTCTCTTTGGAAGCCCCAAAATCGCCTAAGTGTGGAGTGAAAAATGAGAGAAATGGGTTTGAGTTTGTATTAAATGAACTCTTCTGCCCCCAGCTAATTTCGCTTCTGCGGAGGCATTTCCGCTTCTGCGGAGTCCGCTTCTACGGATATTGGCCGCTTCTGCGGCTTTGGGCAATAGGGAGCTGGACCTTTTCTGCGGTCTGGGGGCCGCATAGGCGGAACCGCTTCTGCGGTCGCTGGGCCGCTTCTGCGGTTTCCCATGGCCTGTCCCTTTTCGCTTCCGCGATCAAATGACCGCATCTGCGGTCCAAGAACCGCAGATGCAGTTATGACAGAAGCAGCAAACTTCAGTCCTTTTCCAAGTTTTAACTTCACTCGAGCCTCGCTCGTTTGACGCTCGGGGCTCCCGTGCCCCGCCCGAACATACCACAAGTCTGAAATCGCGAGGCGGACCTACTCGAACCCTCGAATCACTCAAAACAACGTTAAATCTAGGAATCACATCCTAAAACCAAATGAATCAATCTATTGAACTCCAAGTTCTTAATTTCCTTCTAACGGGTCAAAACGCCCTTAAACTACTCGGATTGACACCAAATTTCATGGGTAAGTCTTAACTGATATTTCGGACCTGTACCAAGCTTCGGAACTAAAATCTTAGCCCGATACCTAGCAAATCAATGATTACTTAGTTTATTTAATTCTTTAAAACTTCGAGTTAACAATTTCACAGAAAAATTCATTACTCGGGCTAGGGACCTCGGAATTCGATTCCGAGCATACGCTCAGGTCCCGTATTTTTCCACGGACCCTCTGGGATCGTCAAATCACGAATCCGGGTCCGTTTCCCAAGAAAGTTGACCGCAGTCAAACTTGGCCTTTTTTAGAAAAAACTTAAAGAAGCAAATGGACATATTCTTGCTCAAAACTCTTCTAACTTCCGAACCAGCCGTCCCCGCAAGTCATAAATTAGTTAAAGCAAGTGCGGGAAGTTTTATTTAAGGGAACGGGGGTTCTAAAACGCAAAACGACCAGTCGGGTCGTTACAGGTATAACAAGCGACAACTGAAATGGGACACTGTAGCTGATTCTCGAAAGGGAATGATGGGTTAAATGCGCTTGTGCTAAAAATACAAATTTTCTATATTCTTGGGGCTATTACATCAGTAGTATTTAGTTGTAATCATTACCTATGGTTATCCGGATAACAGTAGCATTGTAGAGTATTTTACGTCCTCTTTTGCAGATATTGTATTATCATACATACTATTTATATGATGGATGAAAAGCCTACTGGTTATGATAGTCCAATTTCATAATTAGAGATGGAGCACTATTTGGGTGACGCCAGGACACTTGAAAAAAATAAGCACATTGCGCAACCTGTTCGGCCCGTGCGTAGCACGGGCAATCTTTATCTAGTATAGATAATAAGGTAAAATATCATGGTATAGTCAGTTTTCACACTGGTCAATGAAAAATAGTCAGCGTTTACCAAGTCAATGAAAATTCGCCACTATTTTGCTGCAACAGGGACCGGTCCAGTATAATATACGGGAGTTCTGGTGCATTTGTGTACGAACTCCAGCATATTATGCTGGACCGGTATACTTTGCTAACTCCTGTAAAATTTGCGGGAGACTGGAGCACCAGTGCTCCAAACTCCAGTATATTATACTCGACAATTAACCACATTCGTGTTTTCCACGGATTTGATCTTTGTTAGTTAACTTTCTGTTTAATAAAAGATGGCTAAAAAGATGCATATGAATTGATAGTTAAACGTTNAAATTTGCGGGAGTTCCAGCATAGTTATCCTGGAACTCCCGTAAATTTTACGGGAGTTCCAACATACTTATGCTGGAACTCCCGTAAAATTTGCGGGCATATTTTTCCGGATTTTGAACAGTGTTTTCGCTCAAATTTAAAGTGGCTAAATTTCGATGACTTTTGAAACTTGACTATTTTTCAACGACCAGTGATAAATCTGGCTATTTTTGAATTTCCCTCGATAATAAGATTATGTGAATTCTAAATAAAGCGGGGCCCACGTTTACAGAGAATTGATAGTCTTACCGGTAAATTGAGCACGTGCATGCAAAATGTGGGTGGAGGCCCCACTTTCTCAGCAAGTTTCAACGCATAAATACAGCGGCTGCTAAAAGACTTAAATGCCCCTGTGACACAGGCATGTTGACAGTGAGCTGTGTGTATTCCCTCTTCTAAGAAGTAGGAATTTAAAAAAGAAGAGGCTGTACAGTAGGATTTTTGGTAAGGTAGGTATCTCCTTTTTCAAAATAATAGGTCGTCGCAACTCGCACGTGTGATAAAATCGTTCCCTCTCACATAATTAATTTTTCTTTTTTCGAAACCCACCCAAGATTAGATCAAACTTTTGTTGAATAAAATAGTTCAAGTGAAGAAGTTTTTTAGTGGCAAATAATGCAATGACTGTTTCTCTTCTATATGAAGGAAATTAGGTATAAATCGTTTTAAAATCCCAACATGCGGAGTACTCGTGCTATTATAGTTTTGTGATAGAATTTAAATTTCTAACTTCACAAATTAGTTGAATTTTCCTGTTCACTAGCTATGATGTAATAACTAAAACCTCCTTTATTATTTATTAGTATTTATTACATAGAGCTTGCTCTAATTTCTGATAATATTGACTATGTTAGACAATAGAACAAAGACTTCAATTTTTCTAGATTGTTTCCCTTCATGGTACTAGAGCTTTGTGTCACGTCCTTAGTCTTAACTAAGCGCACGTGCGACACTTGACAATTAGCTCACGTTCTTGCCCAACTTGCTCACAATCTTGCTATGCCAAGTCAGCCTTACTACACTAAAGATCGCTAAGGAATGCTAGAACACAAGACAATTGCCAAAGGAAGCTTTTGTATTAGAGAGAACTTGATTGTTTTGCTTGGTGAATTACAAATGAATGGCCTCCTTTATATACTAGTCTCCTAGGGGCTAGTATATATGTAAATATTAATTGTTGCATAAGTCCCTTCTTTAGAATTCTCTACATAACTAGAATCTTCTAGGGACTTTCCTACCAATTCCATAGGTTTCTAGAGTCTTCCTATGAAAACCTCTATATTTCTCTAGAACCTTCTCACAAGTGCTACTCTATTTAATATGTAAGCTTCCACATGGCATTAATATATGCCAAATGGCACCGACGTGGCATGATGATGTGGCGGGTCATGACACTCTCCCCCACCCAATTTTGTGCCGCCCTTGGCAAAAAGCATCGACACGTACACGCGCACTTCGCCTTGGTGTCGCCGGAGATCTTTGTCCATTAGCCATGATGCTATATGGGGCAGTTCGCCTTCCCATTTCACAAGGTACCGGTCACCTTTTTTCTTGCCCCGTTTATACCTTGGACAGCTAGCAATGATGGCCTTCATTCTCCGCCCATCGGATGCCCCTCCTTGCTCTTGGCCTAAATCTTCCCATGACTCAACCAAGTCTAGCAGCTTCTCAAACATCGAGTCCATGCTTCCACTTCCTATCTGGCTGCCCTCCGTGGTCTAGCCTTACTGGTAAACTTGAACCCTCTGCTTGGTGCATCGTCTGAGTCCGATAGCATGCCATCACTTTGTAACTTGCCATCCTCTTCAACTATGTCCGTCCAACTTTTCTTGCTGCCACCATGCTCCATTTGCATGGCGCCAAGATAGGCTTTGGAATCCCCTACTTTCGGCTTAGATTCCAAGCGCATCCCTCCAATGCAGGCGGTTTCTCCCGTGTCACCCTTATGTGCTGGAGAAAAGTTCTCGATCATTGCCGCAAATTTCCCCAACTCT